AAGAGGGCAGGCCCACAAAAGTCTTCTGAATGGAGGGAGGGAAGATGGGTGACTTCTGAAGGCACCAGGAGGCTCTGAGACGCAGCCTCTCGATGCTCTGGCCCGAGAGCCCGCTGTCTGCTGGGGACCCGCGTGGCAGGGGGAGAAGTGCACAGGCGGTGGGAGACATTCCCACGCCCTGAGTGCGTGTGTTTGGTCCAAGGGTAAAGGTCCCTAATGCGGGCTTCTCTGCTCCGGGGGGTGGGGGACAAGGCTTACCGAACAGCCACTGTCTCAGGCCAACCCAGAACTTACTGGGTTTTGTTTTGTTTTGTTTTGTTTAAATCTCCCACCGGAAGGTCCGCAAGAGGAAATCAAGCAGCATGTTTGAAGAAGCAACCAGAAAGCAAAGAGAAGGTGGCCAGGGAGCAGACACGCTGTTCCAGGGAGCCCGTGGTCTGCCCTCTGTAAGGGAAATACCAGCACCCGTGTGTCCCAGAACCTCCCACAGTGTGACTCGAGTTCTTGCCCAGCAGCATCCTAGATGCTGACTTCCCATGAGAGTGCAGCCTTTCTCTGGGTCCCAGTTCAGGCCCATAAAAGAGGTTACTGTACAGCTTAGGGTCCCAGAGTTATTTAATTAAAGTCCTTGTGAACCAAGTGGTTCAGTCGGTTGGGCGTCTGCCTTCAGCTCGGTCATGATCCCGGGGTCCTGGGATCGAGCCCGATGTCAGGCTCCCTGCTCAGTAGGGAATCTGCTTCTCCCTCTCCCTCTGCCCCTCCCCCCTATCTCCCCACCCTCTACACCTCCCCCCACTGACGCTGGCACATGCACTCTCTCTCTTTCTCTTTAAAAAAAAAATCCTTGTTACACATGGACTCTTTCTGTGGACTGTTGGTGACTTTCAATTTAATTTTATTATTTTTTAAAGATTTATTTATTTGAGAGAGAGAAAGAGAATGAGCAGGAGGGGCAGAGGGAGAGGGAGAGAGACTCCCAAGCAGACTCCGCACTGAGCGGGGAGCCCAACGTGGGGCTCCATCCCGTGACCTCGAGACCAAGACCTGAGCCAAAACCAAGAGTCAAATGCTCAACTGACTGAACGACCTGGGGGGCCCCGGTAACTTTAAATTTTTAAATTGCTTTATTTAAAATGAATTCATTTCAGAACATTTTTGTGGGGAGATCCTGGTTAGCTTAGTTCAAAATCTGACATTATGGCTCCCAGTGCTTAACAGTACTATTCTAACCTTATTAAAAGCAAAAAGGAAACGTATTTACCTTTAAATGCGAAAATAATATCATTTCCTTTTTTTTTCAAAAGTGAAGACACAGAGGATACGCATACGAATGTCCCAAGCTGAGTAATGAGTGATGTGGGTCTTGTTAGCATTCCCACACGGGGAGGCCAGAGGAAGCAGTGGCAGCACGCCAGGGCTCCCCAGATCTGCGGATATGCCCAGACACCCCGCAGGAAAACCACCTCCGGCTCAGTCCAGATGCGGGGCTGGGATATGTCGGAAAATGCTCCTGGACACAAGAGCTCCAGGTACTTAAGCCAGAGGCTCCCTGATTAGATTCAGGTGCTGGCAGAGGCTAGGGGCAGGGAGAGGGAGGCCTGTGGGCAGTGGCATGGCTCTGCCAGGATCCCAGAGCCCAGATCGTGAGCCAGCTTTTCCTGGATCACTCTGACCCTCTGGGGGGCTGATGACCCCACTTCCTCTCTTGAGCCCTGAGACTGGGACTGCCTTTAAGGAGGGCATGGGGGGACCTGGGTAAAGGCTTCCAGCATAGCCTCCCAGGACGGGGAACTGAGTGAGGCCAGCACACCCCTCCCACCCCCATCCAGGCCTCACGCTCTCACTCACTGCTGAGCCCCCAGGAATGAGCCACCATATTCCACACCACCCCCCATGCAACGGTTTTCAGATTCTTTTCTCTCTAATAGGTTTGATTTTTTTCTTCTCATGATGACATTCTAGAACGTTCCTTACAGAAAACAGGAGACAGAAATTCGGATGCCCCAAAACATCTCCTGGGATGCTGTGGGGCAAATCGCGTGACCCCACACTGTGTCCCAAAGAGGGCCGCCCTGGGCCATTCCTCGTTCACCTAATGCCACTTCCCTGGCATGGAATTGACTCTTTGCCATTTTTTAAAACTAAAAGCCTTGGGGATGACAGTCACCACCGGCTGTTGGGAGGTCCCCAAGCGGAGATGTGCCAAGAACCCGGCCAGTGCCCAGCAGAGCAAATGCCCAAGAAACGGAGCTTGTTGCTTTCAGCTGCGAGATGAGGCTCCTGGGAGTGACGGTGACTAAGCAAGGGCTCAGGTCACCCTGGAAACACCATGGGCCTGGCTGGGCTAGACTCCCCCTCTGTCACTCTTCCTGTGTGTGCCTGCCCCGGTCACTGCACGTCTCTGAGCCTGTTGTCTCTCCCGCAAGCTAGAATGGCAACATCCCGGACTTCATGAGGATTTGCGTCGAGGGCCTGGCGCGGGCTTGGACCACTGTGGGCGCTTCGTCAAGGTGTGCCGAGTGCGCCCCGGCCTCTAACTCTGCACCTGGAATGGGTCCTGCTGGTCTCTGAGGGGAGGCTGGGGGGTGGGGGAGGGACAGGAGCCAGGGTGGGCTTGCCTCTAAGGCAAGAGACAAGGAAGGAAGTTGGGGGACAGGGTCTTGGGGACAAAACCAGAGTGGTTACTCCTTCAGGAGGGCGGGAAAGGGACAGGAAGGCATCCATGCTTACCGAGCACCTACTGTATACCAGATGTTTCCAAACACACAGGCAGCAAGCGGGGAGGCAAAGAAGACCGGGGGAGAGGCCACGGCCTGCTCAAGGCCGCTTAGCTCGTGGGCGGAGGAGCCCAGTTTGAGTGTCCGTCAGCAGGCAAGGTGGCTCGATGCTCCTGGTCATTGAGTATGTGAGGGAGTGAACCGATGAGCACCTTAAGGAGCCCGTGGATGCTGTGACCCATGCCCAGCCCACCCTTCCCCGCCTCTCCACCCCAAGGAGGCTGAAGGTGACGATAATGAAGGTCATTCCATCCCAGCCTCCAAGCTAAAACCCAGAGGACTTGCCAAAGCACAGGGCTGAGGCAAATGTGGGGGTACGAGGCCGCTGTGTCCCCTCTCCCAACGTCTGCACACCCCACATGGCCGACCTGGGTCCTCAGCAGAGCCTGTCACCCATCAGAGCTGGCTCGAAGGATGCCTCCTGGTGGGGTCCCACACAGACCTCCCCCCATGTATCTTCGGCTCTCCACAACAGGGACATAACCTCCAAACTGCACTGAGCCCCCAGAATCTTCGAGGATCGATAGAAGCCTCCAGCCCAGAGAGGGGGGAGGGTACCTATTCCTCCCCAAAGAGCTATGCACCTCCAGACTGGGGGAGCTTCACTGCCAGGCCAGGGGAGCACCCCTGTGCCAAGAGGCCAGGCCTCTTTGGAGAAGTCGCAGGCTGTTCCGAAATTCATGACAAGTTCACAGGGCAGGGGGCTGGGGGTCCCTGCAAGGCGATCCTTGGCCCAGAAGGGTCCCTTCAGGATCCTCCAACACCCGTCTCCCCACCAGTGCCTCCCTAGGTGGGCCCCGATTGACTGTGTAGCCTTAGACCAGTGGCTGCCCCTCTCTGGGCCTGGGTCCCGGCTAAGCGCTGTCAGGCTCGGCCCCCACCCAGCCCCGCCTGGTGCCCGCTCCGCCACTGCCTTCGCCTGGCTCAGCTCCAGACAGCAGGGCACGGCTGTCACATGCTGAACCACGTGACAGGCAGCGGCTGGGGGCTCCATCCCACGGGGAGGACGGGGGCCTCTGCAGCCCCTTCCCCCTGTCCCAGCGGGCTGAAGCCTCCAGGGGAGCCGGAACAGGTGTGGGCCAGAAGACCTCTCCTGCCCCTCAGGTAGGCAGGGGCAATGGGAGGGCCGGGTCGGCGAGAAGCATCTCCCAGGTGCCGGGTTGGCCCAGAGGCCCCAGGCCAGGATACCAGGCAGACACCCGGGGCACCAAGACAGAGGGGCAGTGGCGGGCCCAGGGTGGTAGGCACGGGGCGAGGGCACAAAGGATGCTTCTGCCCCCTCACCTGTAACCTGATCACCTCCCTGTCTGACACCAGCAGCTGCTCGGGAACCATCCCCCTTTGTGCCGCAGGTGTGCGTGGGGCGGGGGCCCCGGTAAGACAGAGGACAGGCCCCCTTGGCACAGCTCAGGCCCCAGAGGAGCAAGCCCACAGGAACCACCGTGGGGACACTTACCATGACAGCTGTCCTAGAGGGCAGAGGGTGGAATGCTACCTTCGGAGGTGGGAGGGGACCTCTGGGGACGGACGCGGCCCCTCCGCTCCAGAGCAACCAGCTTCCTATGTGGGTCCCAGTCCTGCCGTCCATGCCCTGTGGGGTCAAGTCCGGTCGCCTCTCCGGGGTTCCTGTTTTCTCATGATGAAATGGCAGGGCGCAGGGTGACCTGTTCTGAGAGGGGGTCCTGGGTGAGGTGGCATCGATGGGCACAGCTGCGGGGAGAGCTAGGGCACGGAGGGGTCCGCGGGCTGGGCCCTGACACTGTCTTTCTGGGCTCCAGCCATCTCTGGATCCCTCTCTTCATTTTGCACCTGGAAAACCAAGGCTCACAGGGGCGTGGGGGGTGGGAGGACAGTGGTGTTGGCGCAGGGCTTCCCTGCTACTCCAGGCAATTGGACCCCACCCCATGCCATAATTCCCAGGCCCACTGCCCTGGGCTGTCCTCCTCCTCCAAGCTGGGCCTGGGTCTGGTGAGACCTTGGGCTGGACCCCTCAGCTCAGAGCTCCCTGAACATCTGCTGTGTGGCCCCGGAATCGGGCTGGCCCTCTCTGGGCCCTGGCTCCTTCTCTGTGGTCGGGGAGAGGATCCAGAGGCCCCTGAGAGAGGTAATGAAATCTCCGCCTGCAGCTTCCCGCCGGCCCAGAGCCAAGGTCAGGCACGAGGCCAGGGCAGCCCCGCCCTAGGGACCCGCCCAGCCTCGGGACATTTCTTCACGACAGGGCAGCGGGGCGGAGCAGGGACGGCCAGGAGGAAGCGCAGCTTGGCAGGGCCTCAGGTATGCTGTCCCAGGGAGACGGGGATGAGTCCCCAGCAGCCAGGGCCCGGGACCCGGCTGGTGGGCTGCCTGGGCAGGCCTGGCGACCGGAGGCCACACACACAGGCTGGCTTTGTCTTCCAGGAGCTCCTCTGCCTGCCTGGGGAGAAAGGGGAAGGAGGAAGGAGCTTCCCTCTGACCAGACCTAAGAGCTGGAGAGGGAGGGGCTGAGGAGAGGCTCTGGGGCTTTGAAGCTGGTGGCCGGCAGCCATCCTTGTTTTGTCTAAGCTGGGCCTCCATCTTCCTCTCACTGGGGTCACAGCCCATCTTTTCTGGGACTGAGGGCACCAGCTCTGGACCTGGCTGCCCCAGGAGGGAATACACCCCCATCCCTGGTGGGGGAGGGGGTAGGGGATGGGGGGCAGGGCAAATATCCATCTGGCAACACAGAATTTCTGGGCACTGCTAGGCAAGCCCGGTGCTGGGGCCGGGGTACCCACTAACTATGGAACATCCCATTCTTGGGAGCGGGCTCTGCCAGGATCCAGGAAAGAGGGATGAGCCAGACTCTGCCCTGCCTGGAGGAGGGGTTGATCATCAGAAGGTCTCAGAGCAACAGGGTAACTCTCCGGGGAACTCTCTGGGGTGGGGTTGGCTCCACCCACAGGCCAAGGGTTGATCCCCAGTTCCCCCAGACCCCACTGTAGGGAGGGGACTCTGCCAGAGCTTCTGGAGAGCCTGTGAAAAGCCAGGTTCAGGCTCCAAGGGGAGATCAGATTGGAGACCCTGGGGTAGCGGGACTGTGGGGTCATCAAGGCTGGCACTGTGACCTCCACTCTGGCAGCCTGATCGAGGCCCCCCCCCAGACCCTCAGAGCACCAAGTTGTTTATCTCTCTCACCCCTACATGGCTCTCAGGTTGATGTCTTTTCCTCCCTGGTGCCCACACTGGGCCAAGGTCTCTCCTTGGGCTCTTCCCCAGGGTTTCCTCCCTGGAGGCCCCTTGGCACAGCTGTCCTTCACAGTCTGTCTGAGTCACACTCGCTCAGAGCCATGGTCACCGAGCACTCGCAGGGCTCGGCCTCGCACACAACACCGCACGCCTGAATTCTCCCAACAGCGCCCTGGGGCCGCTAAGTACCATCCCCATTTCTCGGATGGGGCAGGCGAACCGCAGAGGAGCCGAGCAACCTGCCCAGGGGCTCCTAGCTCACAAATAGGCTGCCAGGATTCGAGCCCAGACCTCCAGGCCCCGACACCATACTGAAGGGGTGTTCTTAGGGAGGCTCTTGGGGTCTCAGTCGGTTGAGCATCTAACTCTTGATCTCAGCTCCCGTCCTGATCTCAGGGCTGTGAGTTCAAGCCCTGTGTTTGGCTCCACACTGGGTATGGAGCCTACTTTAAAAAGGGGGGGTTCCCCTAAGGAGGCTTCCAGAACAGCTCAGGAAGCGGAGGCAGTGAGAATGACAGAGGAAGGAGAATGACAAGAGGCTGGGTGGGGGTAAGGGGGGCCACTCCATGGAGAGCTCATCACAGGACGGGCCACCGCGTAGGGTGGAGGGGGTGGGACAGTAGAGTCCCAGTGATGCTTTGGAGCCAGCAGACCGGCGTGCCCAGCTGACTCACCCTCTCCCTGATGCCATGCGATCTGTCTGGGCCTGTTTCCCCCAGGGGCGCCGTGCGGACACCCACATCAGGCTGACCCAGGTCGGCACGTGCGGTCAGTGCCTGCTCATCGTGATAACTAGAGGAGTCCCTAGGCCAAGGCCTTAAGGGGACGTGGCTCATCCTCCCCCAGCCCCCAAGCCAAGGGAAACAGGCCTGTCCCTTGTCATCATCTGCTGTCTTGGCCCCTCCTACCCCACCCACTGGCCCCAGGAGCCACAGGTGAAGAACACATGCGGCACAGCAGGTGGCTGAAGCCAGGGCCCCTTAGTGGGCGACGGACCCTTGGGCCCACCAGCCGCTGGGACCTCGGCACTCAGCCAGAGGAGGTCACAAGGGGAAGCAAGGCGGGGACTAGTGGGAATAGTGGGGAGTCAGAGGCAGAGAGCGGGGTACAACCAGTGCGTCTTCTCCCCATTGAGGGCAGTGCCTGAGTCCAGCCACGTACCCCTGCTCCCTGTCCCTGCATCTGCAGTTCAGGCCAGCCCCCTGAGGTGTACCCTCTCCCCAGGGGTCAGGCTGCCATGTAGGGGGATGGAGGGGGGGCAGCCCTCTGTTCCTCCAGATTCCTCCACATCCTGGTTTCCAGGGTAGAAAAGCGGGTGGTCTTGGGTCACCTCCTTGCCCTCTCTGTGCCGAGACGTCCCTCTCCTTGTGAGGGAGAAGACGGTGCCCTCAGGAGGCTGTGGTAGGGGTCAAATGTGTCACGCAGGCACAGGAAATGTCATTCAACATCCTTATGAACTTCCACAATATCACATGTACCCCAGGGGTGGGGGTCGGGGGGTGGAAGTGGGCTCCAAGACCCCAGCCCAGACCGATCCAGGAAGCCCCACATCTGTGTGTCCTTTGTGAGGTCACAGACCCAGGCTCCGCCAGGAGGTGGCCTGGGCTCCTGGGCACACGTGGGTGGTACCCAGCTTCCCATCCCCTAACGGGCATCCCTTGATCCCTCGGTCCAGATTGACCAACGTTGGTGGGGAGGGGGACAATATTGGGTGAGTCGGCCTCAGTGTTGCCAGGCGAGGCTGCTGGAATGTTCCGTCCAGCACCCCCACAGAGCTCCCCTCCCCTCCCTCGCCCAGAGGTGTGCTGTTCCAGTTACGTGCCTGACATTTTTGTGGGTTCTGCAGACATAGCTTATGAAAAGGCACAGAACCCCGGGGGTGGGGGCAGATGAGGTGGGCACACTCTGTACTCCACACCCATCCGCAGGGGTCTGGCGGGGCCCACGAGACAAAACAAGGAGGGGCAGCGGGTGGAGAGAAACACTGGCTGGGAATTTAGTGATCCCAACCGCTGCTGACCTCCAGCCCGTGCACCGCGGCCATGGCTTTAGGGGGCCTGATGTCATTTGTTTGTCGGGATGATGGCAAGTGATATTATTATTCCCACTTTACAGACAAGGAAATTGAGGCAGAGAGATGAGTGGCCTGTCCAAGGTCATAAGGCCAGAAGGAGGCCGAGCCAGGGGTGACAAGCCCAGATGGCAGCTCTGGAGGCCGGGAGGGCCTTGGCACAGGCCAGCATCCCTTCCTCTGAGAAGGCGCGTGGGGTCTGGAGGCAAGGCTGGGGCTGAGAGGGGCTCTGAGAATGTCCCCTCTCTGCTACGCTGGCACCGCCTCTGGGTCCCATGGGGTCTGTCTTGTGCCCCCAGGCAAATGCTTAGTTCTCCAGACCAGAGCAGGAGGCCTGTGGGGTCAGCCTGCCCCCACCCCCATCATGCCCAGGGATCTAGCCGAGTTCTCGGCACAGAGTGCCCTTCCGGCCGGGCCATCCTATTTGGCTGGAGCAGGCTCAGCTCTCAAAGCCATGGATCACTCCAGAAATCTGACGGCTGTGGGGCAGCCATTTAACAACAGCTGGCAGCTTTGGGCACGCTGACACCCGGCCCTGGGCTCAGAACTGGACAGCGTGGTCTCCTCTTTGAAAAACAGCCTGTCAGCTGGTGGCCACTAGCGTTACCCTCCCCGACAGATAAGGAGGCACTAAGACCTAACTCAGGTAGGGAGGCAAAGAGGGGCCAGGGGGAGAGAGGATGAGAGGATGAATCCCCCTCCCCATGTGAGGGAGTAATCAGGGCGAGCTGCCTAGAGGAGGCGTTCACCAAGCTGAGACCTGAAGGGAAAGGAATCAGAGAGGGCAGGAGGAAAGGGTCCCCACGGGTCCTTGGCACCAGGCCAAGAAGCAAGTATGTCACCCTGCTCCTCTGATGAGTTTCGAGTAAACAGGCGGGGGCCCGGGGAAATGTGGGGGCCCCACCCAGATCTCCCGCCGGGGCTGCTGACAGCATGGAGGCATCGGGTGCCCCCTCAGCCCCTGCCCCCTACTCTTCCCAGCTCCTCCAACACTGGGGCTGGTGAGAGGGGCAGAGACAGTGGAAGCCACCACCCGGGTCCCCCAGCCCCCCGTGCTGCCACCAGCCAGCCTGGCTTCCCCAGGCAGTGCCCCCAGGAGAGGGGCAGGAGGCACGGCATATTCTGTGTCTGGATTGTCCCCCAGTGGCGGCCATGGTGGCTGTTGGTGGACTGTCCTCTACTTGTCGAACTCTTCCTGGTTACTCCACGCAGGCCTAGCAGGGATGAGGGCGGCCCCATCTCCATGAGGGGCACCAGAGTGGGAGGGGGGCCATGGCTTGGGGCTCATTTCCGTGTGGCAGGGAGAAATGAGGTTCCCGGGCTGCCTGCCTACCTTTTGGGGCTCTGGGGTAGCTGCTCCCAAGCGCCCCCACCCCCGTGCTGTCCTGCCCCCAGCCCAAGGTCCAGAGCTCTCCTGTCCACTGGCCAAGGGGAAGGGATTGGGGGTCCATCGGAGTGTGTGTGCGTGTGTGTACACGTGGCGGCGGGGGCAGCCCCGGCCCTCTGGGGTCGCGCGGGAGTCCTTGTAGGAGTGTCCGTGAGCCCATAGAGGTACAGCCAGGGGCACAGGGAGGATGCCCGAGAAGGTGGGGAGCCCCGGCCCACGCTGCCCCCTCCCTGCAGGATGGACCCCTACGCGGACACCCTGCGGCGGCTACGGGAGGCCTTCAGCACAGGGCGGACGAGGCCGGCTGAGTTCAGGGAGGCGCAGCTCAAGGGCCTCCGCCGCTTCCTGCAAGAAAACAAGCAGCTTCTGCAGGAGGTGTTGGCACAGGACCTGCACAAGGTGGGCGGGGCCGGGGTTGGGGGCGGGGCCTGGAGACGGGGACACGCGGGATGAGGGCCGCAGCTTCCTCCCTGGGCAGGGACTAAGGGCCTGCAAACCCCACCCCCTTCCCTGTGCCACACGGCCTCTTCGCTTCTTCTGCTCGCGTCCATCCGCGCCTTTCCCATCTCCCCCACAACGTCAGACTGAGCACCTACCATGTTCCAGGTCTCCTGTTCTAGGCCAAGGGGGTACAACAGAAAGTGAACCAAAATCCTTGTGCCCAGGGAGCTGGCTTTCCGGAGAGTGGCACAAAACAACAGTAAAGAACTAATTGTATAGCATGTTGGATGGTTTCAAGTGCCATGGAGAGACGCTCCCGGGGTGAGAGGGGCAAGAGGATGAACCAGGAGCAGGGCGGTGTTTTACATGTGGGAGTCAGGGGCAGTTTCTCTGAGGAGACCTGCGGGAGGGAGAACTTTGGAAGAAATGGCAGCAGGCACAGTATGTGCAAAGGCCCTGAGGCAGGCGGCCTCTGTGCTTGAGGAGCGGCAAAGAGGCCAGCATACCTGGAGGGGAGTGAGAGATGCAGAGAGACACAAAAGATGAGATCCAGGGAGGCAGGTCACACCATGAAGTGCCTCGTGCACCACAGATGAGTTCAGTTTCACTCAGAAAGTTGGGCATCATTGGCCCCTCTCCAAACCCGCTGGCCTGAGGGCTCGGCTCCTCCCAATTTCAGTAGCAGCCCAGCAATGCATTTGCTTCCGGGCAACCTCCCACCCCCTCAGCCGACAGAGCCCAACCGCTTGGCTGCTTGTGCCCCAGGGTGTCCTTCTCTGGACAAAATGTCCTCTGCACCTGCCACCAAGGCCACGGTGTCCAGACCCACCCCCGGGCTCCCCTGGCCCCTCAACGCCTGGAACTCCTCAGGGCCAGGCCTATGCCTCTTTGCCGCCGGGTGAGGTGCCACCCTTGCAGTGGGCCTGCAGGTTCCACCCAAGTCACGATAGAGACCCCGGGGCCAGTGGAGCCGGGGTCCTTCAGTAGCTTCCTTGGGTAGCTCCCGACTTACAGGCACACTGCCAAGTGTCCGTCCTGTCCCCAGAGCAGTCATGGACTTTGAGACTAGTGCCTCATGGCATCCAGGGTCATCCCTTGGGGACAGCAAAGTGTGTCCACAAGGACTTACCTTGAGGATGTGGCTTCCTGGTGATGCCTGCTCCCTTTCTAAGTGTCCCCAAACCTGCCTTTAACCGTGATGCCCCGGGACTGTAGCCAGGTGAGGCCCAGGCTTCCTTGTCAGCAGTTTCCGGAATCATCTGTTTTCCCATGAACACATGAAACCAGGGTTCTCTCCTCGACAGTCCTCACCCCTGCTGCCCGGTGCCATCGCCTCACCCAGTCTGCTCTTTGCTAACTAGGAACACAGCAAGCCAGCGCCCACCTCAGAGCCTTTGCACACGCTATGCACTTTGCCTGGAATTTTCTGCCTCTACATATACGCAGGCTCCCCCACTCCCAGTCCTCACCGCTCAGAGGTCACCTCGTCCCAAGGCTGGCACTGATAATCTTGTATAAAGCAGAGTACACACACGCACACACACGCACACACGCGCACACACGCGCACACACACACGTACGTGAGCACACACAGGCGCGCACACACGCATTCACGGACACCCATGCACTCACGTGCGCGTGCCCGTGCATAGCCCCCAACACACACACACACACACACACGCAATGCACGCACACCACACACTCCAGCAGTCTCTGTCCCCTGTCCCCTGTTTCACTCCTATGGCTCTGGTCACATCAGTGTTCTCAGTGTCACAGCTGCTGTCCCCCTCTGACGTCCGCTCTGTGGGGCAGGCTCTCTGGGCCCAGTGCTGTCTCTCCCTGCTGCATTCCTGGCCCAGGAAGGACTCCCGAGGGCTGGAAGCCCTCATTGAACATGGAGTGCGTGAATGAAGGAGCCGACTGGGGTCCCCCAGCCCGAACCCCGCCCCTGTCTCTCCCCTGCAGTCAACCTTCGAGGCAGAGGTGTCTGAGATCAGAATCAGCGAGAGCGAGATTGACTTAGCCCTCAGGAATCTGAGAGCCTGGATGAAGGATGAGAAAGTGCCTAAGAATCTGGTGAGCTGGCCCCGGGGGGGAGAGGGCACACGGGCAGCCTTGCCCTCTGGAGGGTGGCACAGAGGGTTTGGGAGTCTCAAGGCCCCACCACTCACCACCACACTGGCCCTGGGGCCCAGGCCACGCAGCTGGACTCGGCCTTCATCCGGAAGGAGCCCTTCGGCCTGGTGCTCATCATCGCCCCCTGGAACTACCCAGTGAACCTGACCCTGGTGCCCCTGGTGGGCGCCCTCGCTGCAGGTAAGAGCAGTTTGGCCCTTCCCGCTGCCCATTGTCCCAGCTGTCCCCACCCTCAGGCCTCCTGGTGGCCCACAGAGCCTGTGAGCGGGGAGCCGGCAACAAGTGGCTAAGAAAAGCCGGTTCCCGCCTGGCCCAGCATCCCTGGGCGGTGGGGCCTCGGGCCCGTCAGTCACCTCTCAGCCAGATGTTTCTCCTGAGAGCAGAGCGAGGCCGGGCACCAGGGGTAAGGGCTGAGCAGAGGCGGGAGAGGCCGGCCCTCTCCCAGCGCTCCTCCTGCCCCGCCCCGCCCCGCAGGGAACTGCGTGGTGCTGAAGCCGTCGGAGTTCAGCAGGAGAACAGAGAAGGTCCTGGCTGAGGTCCTGCCCCGATACCTGGACCAGGTGAGCCGGGCATGGAGTGGGCCCAGCAGCTACACTGGGGTTCCTCAGGACCTGAGTTCCAGCCTCAGTCCTCCCTCCTTTGGGGTGTGCAGCCATGGCTGGGTCGCTGCCCCCTTTGCCTCTTTCCCATCAAGTGAAACAGAGAGCCAGTGCATCCAGCTGTGCTCTTAGGACCGTGGCCCCGGATCCTGCCATCTCTCTTCCAGAGCCTGCCGGAGCCTGTCTTCTGGGCGGCCCTGACCACACCCCCACCCCGCCTGCCACCTGCGCACCCCTCAACCCCAGCCAGGCCCTAACCTCACACCTTCTGGGCTGGGACTACGGGGGACACCGGGAAGCTCCCTGCTCCCATCTGGCCCATCTAGGTCCCTGGAAACTGTGGGTCAGGCCCAGCAAGGGGGGGCACACAGGGAGGCAGCCCCCTGCGTTCCCCAGGCTGGGGTCCCAGAGGGAGCCGTCTGCCACCCCGCCTTGCAGAGCTGCTTTGCCGTGGTGCTAGGAGGGCCCCAGGAGACCGGACAGCTGCTGGAGCACAAGTTCGACTACATCTTCTTCACGGGTGAGGCCAGAGTGCCCGCGGTGTGCAGGGCTTGGGGAGCTCCACGTGGGGATGGTCGAGCCCAGCCACCCCCTCAGGGGGCTTGTCCCCAACCCTGGGAGAGTCCAAGGGACCCAGGCGCACAGACAGCCAGGAAGGAAGCAGGCTGGCTCCAGGACAAGCTTGCTCTGTGATCCTTGAGAAGCGGGGGAGCAGCCCTGACCCCTGGGACCCTCCAGAGGCCCCTTCCCTGGTCACAGTCTCATGAATGACAGCCTCTGCCCGTGCCGAGCTCCCACTGTGCGAGGTTCCCCCCTGGAGACCTTATATACCACCCACTGGTCTCAGGACCTTATACATGACCCCACTGACCCAGGGCCCTTGTGGCCGGCTGGACAGATGAGGGCTTGGAGGACAAGGTAATGAAGAGCCACGGCACCCAGCTGGGGTCACTCCAGGGACCAGGATTGGGGAGGCTGGATCTTTCCTCCCAGGCCCTCTGTGAGAATTGTTCTCTGAGGTCATCTGCCATCTCCCTGGCACGTGCCCATGAGGCCCAGACACCACCTGGCTTCAGGTGACAGTATCGGGGTGTGTCGGGGGGGTCCTATAAGGGTCAAAGAGCTGGAGAGGCAGAGAGCTGTGTTCCCTGGCCGAGGTTCTGGAGGAGAGAGAAAGCAGACAGGGCGGAGAGCCGCTTCGGAGGCCTCCTGCTCACTGGCCTCATGCCTGGTACACCTTGACCACACCAGAGCAGGGGGAGTGTGGTCTCTGCCTTTCTCCCCACAAACCCTGCCACAAGCCCAGGACAGGGCCCATGGGCCCCCACCTTGGTGGCCAGGGAGCCTGCTACAGAAGCAGGGGGCGGGGTCCTCAGCTGGTCCTGCAGATTCCTGGTGGCTGGAGGAGGAGGAGGGGACACGGGGAGGGGGTGGTCCACCTTCCACCATCACACCTGACAGCTCGGTGGGCTTTGGGCCTTTGACTTGGGCCAGGAACCTGGGCAGCCTGCGCAGAGGCTGGGAGACTGACCAGTACCTAGTCTGCCATGAGCCCCTGACTCCTGCAGGACTGTCCTTGTCTGATGACGGTCACAGGTCTGTCTTGAGGATATGTGAACTTACGGAAGCCTTTGTCACAGCCCGAGGCCAGGGGAAGCATCCATTCACTTGCTCGCTGTTTTCTGAGGAACATGCTCTGTCCAGACGCCGTCCTAGCCTTGCAATAAAGCAAGGGCTGAGGAGACAGAGCCTCCCTGCCGGAGGAGCTCACGTTATAACAAGGGGACAGGGGACAGAGAATTGAACAGCATGGGAATGATGGGGCCCTTGGAAGGGACTCTGGCAGGGAAGCGTGACAGGTTTCAACAGACAAGGGGAGCCTCATAGACAAGAAGATGTTTCTGAAAGCTAGGAGGACTTGAGGGAGGAGTGGACAGGTGAGGGGATGTGGGGGGGCCTGGAGCAGGGTGGGGCAGGGAGAAAGGGCAGGGAAGCTGGACCAGGCTAGAGCAGGGACATCAGGCTCTCAAGTGGTGGCCGGAGAGGGCAGGCATGGGCAGGAACATCTTGGATACAGGGAACTTTCGGTGAGGGGGAGGTGGGATGGAGGGGACTGTGAGACCCTGGAGATGGGCAGGTGGCCACTTCAGCCAAAGGTCGGGAGCAGAGGGAAGGGTAGGGTGGCGTAGCCGCCAGGTTACGTCAGAGAGAGAGACCCAAACTCTGGCCTTGGACCAGAGCAGTCTCTGCCAGTTCTGGAGAAGACTGGAGAGGTAGGGAGGGGTGGAGAGTGGCATGCCAGCAAGAGTCACTGGCAGGGGGGCACCTGGCTGGCTCAGTCATTAAGCATCTGCCTTCCACTGAGGTCATGATACCAGAGTCCTGGGATCAAGCCCCACATCAGGCTCCCTGCTCAGCGGGGGCCTGCTTCTCCCTCTCCCTCTGCCCCCCGCCCCAGACTTGTGTTCCCTTTTTTTCTGTCTCTCTCTGTCAAGTAAATAAATAAATCTTAAAAAAAAAATAAATAAATCACTGGCAGGGGGAAGCCCGGGATCAGAAGCAGGGCAAGGGGCTCCTGGATTTCTAACAAGGCAGGTCAGGAGAGGGAGCCAGGGACCTGGCTTGCTGCTCTGTGCAGACGCCTCCATGGACCCCGCGTGGCTGGGCTGGGCTGGGCTGGCCGAGGCTGTGAGCAAGGTCCTGGTGCAGAGACTGGCCGGGGAGGGCCCGGGGAGGGCCTGCATCCTCCAACTCCACCACCTCTCCAGGGAGGTCAGGCCAGGGAGTGAACTCCCCCGCCAGGGGTCGCGGCCCACAAGCTGAGGCCATCCCACCTGGCTGAGGTGACTGAGGGTCACCCTGGTTTCTTTCCACTGCCCAGGGAGCCCCCGTGTGGGCAGGATCGTCACGGCTGCCGCCGCCAAGCACCTGACGCCCGTCACGCTGGAGCTGGGGGGCAAGAACCCCTGCTACGTGGACGACGACTGCGACCCCCAGACCGTGGCCAACCGCGTGGCCTTTTTCCGCTACTTCAACAGCGGCCAGACCTGCGTGGCCCCCGACTACGTCCTGTGCAGCCCGGACACGCAGGAGCGGCTGCTGCCCGCCCTGCAGAGCGCCATCACCCGCTTCTACGGCGACGACCCCCAGAGCTCCCCGAGCCTGGGCCGCATCATCAGCGACAAGCACTTCCAGAGGCTCCGGGGCCTGCTGGGCTGCGGCCGCGTGGCCATCGGCGGCCAGAGCGACGAGAGCGAGCGCTACATCGGTGAGCCCGCCCTGTCGCCGCGCGGTCGCCGGGCGGGGGCCCTTCCAGGACGCGGGTCCCACGTGGGCCGCGAGCCTGGGCCGCGAGCCCGGGCCCCGCCCTCCACACCCAGTAGCCCCGCCCCGACCCCTCGTCGCCCCGCCCCGTCTCGAGGCTCCCAGGGCCGCGCGATCTAGGCCAGCCTGGACGCCTGCCTCCCCGACCTCTGCTCCACCTCGGCCCCCGCCCGGGCTGGACAACCCCTCGCCGTCCTTCCTGGGGGCCGCGGGGACGCTCTCTTCCCCAGAAGGCCCTGAGCCCCGCCCGTGGCCCATCCCCGTCCCGCCCCAGCGCTGAGGGGTCCCTTGTGCCCGCAGCCCCCACGGTGCTGGTGGACGTGCAGGAGACGGAGCCGGTGATGCAGGAGGAGATCTTCGGCCCCATCCTGCCCATCATGAACGTGAGGAGCCTGGACGAGGCCATCGACTTCATCAACCGTGGGGAGAAGCCCCTGGCCCTGTATGCCTTCTCCAACAGCAAGCAGGTGGGGGGCCCGGGCAGGGCTGAGTGGGGGCTGGACAGAGATGGGGTCAGGGGCCAGCAGTGGATGGCGGACTGGTGACAGCAGAAGGGGAGATGGCTCCAGGATTGGAGTGGACCAAGGGGCCTGGAGGGAGGGTTCGGTGTCCTGCTTCTCTGGAGCAGTCACAGAAATTCTAGGATGGGGCACTCTTGGTTCTGTCACTGTCCTTTCTACCTGGGGCAGCCAGGCCTCCTCTGTCCTCCAACCTAAGTGACAGTCTCCAGGGTTCATGTCCCCGGCTCCATCAGCACCCCGCTCTGTCTTCCTCATCATCTCTGCTGGCTGTCAAGTGTCCCCTTCCAGTGCCGGGCTCATAGAAGGCACACACGGAATGGCGTGGAATGACTAGGGGAGGATGAAGGACCAGAACACGCAGAAGGGACAGTGAACCCCAGCCCCCTGCCCTGCTCAGCCCCTGGGGGCATCCTGGGAGCCTCAAGGGCAAAGGGCAGGCGTCTACAGCTCAGGGCACACCTTCCTCTCTCACACAGCTCTTATGAGATCCCTCACAGATTGGACAGTGTGGGTTTTTTTTTTTTTAAGATTTTATTTATTTATTTGAAGAGAGAGAGCATGAGCAAGGGGGAGGGGCAGAGGGAGAGGGAGAAACAGGCTCCCTGCTCAGCGGGAGCCCCGATTTGGGGCTCAATCCCAGGACCCTGGGATCATGATCTGAACCAAAGGCAGACGCTTAACCGACTGAGCCACGCAGGTGCCCACGCAGTATGTTTTTAATAAACTCTTTATTTTGGAATAACTTTCACTTTACAGAAGACAAAGATAGTCCAGGGAGTCCCAATATACCCCGCTACCAGTTTCCCCCATTTAAGGGCCCTTATGTTCAACAAAACTGAGAGATGGTGCCTGGTCCGTTACTGTTAACAACACTCCAAATTCGATCTGAGTTTCACATTTTTCTTTCAGCCCCAAGAGCCCAGCTAGAGCCCTACATTGCCCTAGTTGCGGGTCCTCTTGTCTGTGACCGCCGCTCAGCTTGAGAGGCGCTGACCAGGTCCCTTGCAGCATGTCCCCAACCTCGGTGGTCTGGTGTTTGTCTCATGAAAGATTACCACGGAGGCGAGGGCTGGCCTCCGACCTCCTATCAGGGATAGAGATCCACACATCACTGGTGAGGCCAAGGGTCTCCACCGAGAGACCGACCTCTTCTTCAAGAGCAAGTCTCGAAGTCGAGCCCCCCTTCCATGGGATTGAGCGCCACCTGCTGAAGGCGGACACCTAATTCCATCCCCTGGAATCTGTAAGAACGATTTGGCTCTTGAATCACTTCTATCAGCAGGGACTCGTGTGCACCTGCTTTATTCTCCGGTTACAATGCAACACCGCCTTGTGTCCTTGCTCAGGCTGTCCCTCTTCGGGCACTGGGAGCTGCTGTGTCCCTCAGTGCCCCCCCAATCCTTTTGTTTTCCAACCACTTCCTTCCTTTCAGGGTCCACGAGCTGCTTCGGCTCATCCCGTTTTTCCCTTGCCCAGCCCGAGTCAGTCATTCCTCCAAGGAGCCTTGCTCTATCTGGATAATAGTAACTTCAGAAAATTTACAATCTGGGTTTTTTGGAAAGGGGTCAATTTTCTCAATGCCCAGCACTGACTGGCCCCAGGGACCCATGGCCGCCCCCAAGAAACACTGTGACAACCCTGCTCCCTCTTGTGTCACTATTATTACCCACCTCCACGTGATTTCTGAGCCCTGTGATGGGGCGGTTCCCTCTCACCACGCAGATGAGCCGTTAGCTCAGGATCACATGTCATAACTAAATATAGCTGAGTTTTCTGGCAATGACTATAGTGTTTACTGATCATTTCCCCCTCATTCTTCCAATAAACCTATAGGTTAAAGAGAAAAGGGCTTCTTGGGGCACCTGAGTGGCTCAGTCCTTAAACGTCTGCCTTCAGCTCGGGTCATGATCCCGGGGTCCTGGGATCAAGCCCCGCATTGGGCTCCTGCTCCTCCGTCTCCCACTCCCCCTGCTTGTGTTTTCTCTCTCAGTGCCTCTGTCAAATAAATAAATAAAATCTTCAAAAAAAAAAAAAAGAGAAAGGGGCTTCTTTAAGTAAAGCAAGGGCCACATTCATGTTCCTAAAATGCACACCTGGCTTCATCACCTCAAGGTCCTCCCTGTGCTGCACACTGCACAGCCCAGCCCCTGGGTCTCTGCACCTGCCCTTCACTCTGCCTAGGGGGACCCCTTCCCCTGAGAGGCAGCAGTGGCATCACGTCCCTCTCTTGGGACGCTTCCCTGACTACCTGGCATTTCACCTTGAACTCTCCAAGTCCCCAGGGGACTGCTGAGCTTTCTGCCTCCCTCTTGGCCCTGCTTCTGTGTCACCAGCCCCCTCGCAAAGGCCACGCTCGAGCAGCTGCTCAGGAAACATGTCCAGACTTGGGGGCTCGGGGGCTTTGACACAACCACACCCCCCACCTGTGACACTCCCAGGGTGGCCAGACTCTTCCACCCTGCAGGGCCCTGCGGGCTGGCCTCTGGCTGCCCCGCCACAGGGCCTCATGGCTGTTCCCCTCCCCACCAGGTGGTCAAGCGAGTACTAGCCCAGACCAGCAGCGGGGGCTTCTGCGGGAACGATGGTTTCATGCACATGACCCTCGCCAGCTTGCCTTTCGGAGGAGTGGGTAAGTGCTGGCAGAGCCCCGCCTTCTCTCGCTGTTACTGGACTGAGGGCACCCCTGCACCCCCATCCTGCAAAAACCTTCCAGACCTGCCCCTGCATGTACATATGGGTGGGGGACCCATTAAGGACACCATTTGGGGTTCTGGTATGGGGGCCAGCTGTGGTGCCTGGTCCTGGAGGCCCACACAGCCCCGGCGTCCGCACTCAGTCCACACCCCCCGGACAACTTGCCAGGCCCTCTGGACAGTGGCTTGGGTGCCTAGTGTGGGCAGGTGCCAGTCTCTGGCTCTCCCATGCCACTGAAGAAGCGGTGGGTTCAGAGAGGGTCATGGCTACCCCATATCACACAGAGGGCCCATTTCACAGATGCGGAAACCAAGGTCCTACTGCGTGTGACCGACTGGCAGAGCCCAGGTGTGTCTGACAGCCTCCTGCTGGCCGCTGTGGGGCTGACTGGTGTGTCCCATGTTGCCCTGCAGGTGCCAGTGGGATGGGCAGCTACCATGGCAAGTTCTCCTTTGACACCTTCTCCCACCACCGCGCCTGCCTGCTGCGCCACCCCGGGCTAGAGAAGATCTACTCCATCCGCTACCCGCCCTACTCGCCCCGCAACTTGAGGATGCTGCTGGTGGCCATGGAGGGTCGCAGCTGCAGCTGTACCCTGCTCTGAGCCCGGCTCACACCTGTGAGTCTGCGGCCCCTACCGCCTGCGGCTAGGGCAGATGTGGCCTGGGGCACACACCCAGGGGGGAAAAGACCACAGCCCAGACCAGGGCACGCCCTGCTCCCTCCTGGGGCTTCTCTCTGTGAGCCCTCAGCCTGCTGCCTTCCAGCTTCCCTCAGCTGACCCAACTAGGACGGACCAAGGCGAGGGAGCCTGGGAGACTATGCGGTAACCTGCCCCCAGTACCCACACTAGCCACCCGAGTCCTGGGGGAGGCCGGCAGGTGTGGACACTTCTGAGCCACCCCCCTTCACAACCAGCACCTCCAGACATCTCTGTGGGGATTACATTTTGGAGTTTAATAATAAATAAGTCGTTTATCCCAAGCTCCAGGCATCCTGTCTCCTCCTTTGGGTGTGTCAGTCTTTCCCCTCTCAGGCCTTCTTGGGAGTTCTGAGCACCTTCCTGTCCCCCCAGTGGCTGGCCCTGGGTGCCTTCCCCTTACCACGTCCCACACCAGAGTCACCCTCTCCTGCTCATCCTCCTGGGCTCTGATGCCATGGAATCGTCCCTTATCTACTCAGCCACCAAACCAAAGCCCTGGGTCCCCCAGCTCAACATCCCCTTCTCACCTCCCAAGTCCCATCTTTGAGCAAGTCCCGATGGTGCTATAAAGCTGCAGAACTTGCCAATCCACACACCTGGCCACCATGACCAGGGCCATCTGTCACCTCTCCTTTCCCCACAGGCCTGACCTCAGTGCACTCACTGATCTTCCCAAAGCTCACCTCGACCATGCCACCCCACCGCCCAGCCTGAGCCCCTCAGTGGCTCCCTGTGGCCCGGAAGTCAGGACCCACATGAGTCCTTGGGGTCTCCTCCACAGCGCTGTGTCCCTGTCGTCCTTCTCAAGAGGACCTCTGCACGCACGGCCCCCATGCCTGCCCTGCCCTTGGCCCTACTCCTCGGAGTCAGCTGGGACATCGTATTGTCCGAGAAGCCTTGCGAGAACGCCTCCCCCTCCCCCGCCCACCACCAACACATAGGAGGCCCCAACGGCCTTCTCCATGCCTGCCACCCACGGGGTCCCTCTGCCCCACGATCGATCCCCTGGGAGGAGACAGTTGGGTGGCTGTTGAGGGACAGGGATCCCGAGTCACACACACCCAGGTAGGACGCAGGCGGCCGCACTGTGCAGCTCTAACGCTTGGGCCAAGCTCCTAAACAAGTCCTTGCCTCAGTTTCCCCATCAGTAAAGCGAGAATAATCCTCCACACGCAGCCCCTGGGTCAAGGGTTAGCACCGACCAGGCACGGCTCCCGCGGAATCACTGCCGGCCACAATTCTCTGCACGGTTACCACAAATACCCTGCAGCAACGCATCAACTCTCCCCCAACCCTCCGCGCCAGGTCTGACCCGGAGCCGCTTCCTAAGCCACGCCCCGGACGTTCCGCCTCCAGTGGCGCAGGAGTCCTTGCTTATTGGCCTCTCCAATCCAATATGGCAGCGCCCTGCGCAACTTCAAGAGTTGGCTATCCCCTAGCCAATCAAAGGAAAGATGCTTCTGGATCCCGCCTCTTTCAGCGGAGCCGCTGGCCAATCAGGTCACACCGTAAAAGATGAGCGCGGAAAAGGTGAAACCAGCCGGCCCAATGGTAGCGTCTCGGAGTGTAGGCTCCGCCTCTCGGCGGACAGGCCACTCGGCAAGGGAAGGAGCGACAGCGCTTCATGGTAGGTGTTCGGGCTCAACTGTTAAAAGCCGGCCCTGGGCGGTGCGGCGTCGGGGGCGAGTGTGGTGCTGTCGTAAGCCTCGCCGGCTGTGCGGACGGGCTTCATCTCGGCCTGCTCAGGGCCGGCGGTGCAGGTGTCCTTCAGCGCGCAGCGGGCGGACCCGGGGGCCGGCACCGCCAAGGCGCATGCCCCGCCCGCGTCCGTGGGGTCGGAGGTCATGGGGAAGGTCGGGGAAGGTGTCAGGCTCTTGACCCTGGAGTCAGCGGTCGGAGATGGGCACGCGGGAAGGCACAGGTCACGGGAGGGCCACTTTTGAGCTTCGGCTAGGTGCCAGGCTCAGGACATATACAACCCCCTACGTTCTCATGACCCCCATTTCGCGGAGGAGAAAACGTGCAAGATGACCTCACCCGCCCAAGGTCACTTGGCAGGCAGGAGACCGTTCCAGAAGGACCTTGATGGTGGGGCAAGAAATTTGATCCCGAGGGTTATTTAAGCCTTTAAAGGGTTTCCAGCATGGGGGAGGGGGGGTCTGTGGGTGTAAAGGGCGGAGCCTGGGTACACGTACTGGTCCCACACCCTCCCCCATCCAGTGTGTGACTTTGGGCAAGTCACTTAACATGGCCAGGCTCCAGCTTCGCATCTGTGTCTCTCGTGGGGACCTTGTGAGGACCGAATGATGGTGTGCGTGACCCCCCCCCAGGACAGTGAGGTTTCAGTCCTGGTGGCTACTATCGGTGTTGTCAGATGCCATGAGGATGAACAGGGGAGGGATCCGCTAGGAGACAGGAACACTGGTCAGGGGAGAGAGGAGGGATGGATTTTAAAGATTTCTTAGAAGGTGAGATCAATAGGACGTGGGTTCACAGATGCCCCCTCACTCTTAGGCCAGCCTAGCTGGGTCAGGTTTGGAGGGCTGGGAGGTGCCACACCTGTGCCTCTGTTAGGAATGGGGGTAAATCGGAAACCAGGTGACACAGCGGCACTGAGGTCCGGGCTCCTGCAGTACCAGAGTTCCTGGGGACAAGTCTGGGACCCATGCGTGCCTCTCCCTTTGCATCCCTGCAGATGCGCTGCCTGAGTACACCCACGCTGCTTCGGGCTCTGGCCCAGGCTGCACGAGCAGGTAGGACCAAGGAAGCCTTTCCTGGGGGCGTTGGGGAGCCCAGTGTCCTGACGTGAGGCTGCAGCTGCCTAACGTAATCCCTCTCCTTGCAGGGCAGCTCACTGGCCGGAGCCTCCACAGCAGTACCGTGGCAGCGACCTACAGTGAGTCTGGGGCACCTTGAGCCTTGGGCTTTCCGGATCCTGAACCTACCAGAGGCAGGGGTGGAGGCCTAGGTTCTAGTCCTGGCTCTGCCTGAGGCTCCCCCTCTCTGAGCCTGTTTCTACTTTGTAACAGTGATCTAGACTGAATCTGATTCGTGGGGGCAGGCTCTGTCTGCGAGATGATGGGGAGCCTTCTCTGTGGCCTCACATTGAGCTCAGAGCTTCCCTGCGTGGGACAGGGAGGGAGGGAGCTGCCAGGTGGGAGGCTCCGGTGTCGGTCCTCTTCTGCCAGGACCTCACCGCCCAAGCACCACCACCCCCCGGCCACCTCTGGGCTTGGACAGCTGCCCACACACAGGGAGAAGTGGGCAAGGACTGCCCAGAGCCAGAGACAAGCCTTGCAAGGCCCTTGCTGAGGCCGGAAGGTTTGATGAATGAACCAGCCCTTGGGGGGCCTTATCTTCCTGAGTTGGATTCCTAGAGGAGGGACATGGGCCCGTGAGGCCCTGCTATGGCCCTCTCTGCCCACCTCCCCTGCAGAGTTCGTGAACATGCAGGAACCCTCGATGGACATGAAGGCGGTGACCGACAGGGCGGCTCAGACCCTGCTGTGGACTGAGCTCATCCGAGGTGGGCCCTGGGGGAAGGGGATGGGGGTGGGCACAGAGTGTTAGGGAGGCGGGGCCCCCACCCACCATGCCCCTGCTGCCCGCAGGCCTAGGCATGACCCTGAGCTACCTGTTCCGGGAGCCTGCCACCATCAACTACCCGTTCGAGAAGGGCCCACTGAGCCCTCGCTTTCGGGGAGAGCATGCGCTGCGCCGCTATCCGTCAGGAGAGGAGCGCTGCATTGCCTGTAAGCTTTGTGAGGCTGTCTGCCCCGCCCAGGTGAGCCCCTGACCCCTGCTGCCTGCCCCCCGGCGCCTGCCACTCAGAGGGAAGCAGGGCAGTCTTGGACGCCCACCCCCCCCCACTGGGAGCGTGTCCCTGGGAAAGCCCCTTGCCCTCTTTGAGCCGTGTCGCCAGGCCAGTGCAGAGTCCCTGAGTCCTCAGAGGAAGGCTTGCAGCCCTGAGCAGGCCACATGACACCTGTGGGTCCTGCCGTCGGGGACCTGGTCAGTGAGCCACAGGGTGGTACCTGAAAGTCCGCTTTTGCCCTGAACACGGCAGTGGTTTTAGGGTTCTGCGAATGTGCCTGTCACCAGCCCCGAGGACACACGTGCTGCCCCTGAGGCCCTCACTGCCCCTGTCTCCTGCTCCTTTGAGCCTCCAGCATTAGTTCTGTCGCAGGGCCCCTGCACGGCGCCCCCCAACCCCGAGTCAGGGCCCCTTAGTGGAAAAACAGATCCGGTTGGGGCGCAGTTCGTTTAAGCGGCCGATTCTTGGTTTCAGCTCAGGTCATGCTCTCAGGGTTGTGAGACCAAATCCCACATCGGGCTCTGCTTTCCGTGGGGCGTCTGCTTGACTTACCCCCTTCCTCTGCCTCTCCCTCTTATTTCCCACATGCACGTTGTCTCTCTCTCTCTCTCTCAAATAAATAAATCTTTAAAAAAAAGAGACAGGTGCAGTTGAGGCTCTTGGGCGGACCCATGGCTGTGCCCGGCAGTCAGGTCCCCCTCACAGGGACCGCCCCTCCCAGCAGCCTCCCAGGCCATGACCCTGGTGTCTCTGATCCCAGAGCGCATAGAAGAGCCCAGACACCTGTAGCCGTGACAGCCTTCCAGGTTGTGAGCCCCATGGACAGATCAGCCGCTGTTCCTGCTCATGACTGACTTTTACAGCAACCCTAGGATATAGAGATTATTATCTCCATTTTTATAGATAAGGAAACTGAGGCCAAAGAAACAAGGCCACCAGCCTACGGTCCCACTGAATGATGAACATTACCTCCTGGGGACACATAAAGACCTTTGGCAAGCCCCCTTTGAACATCTTTCTGGCCATGGGAGGCTCCAGAACATCTCACTGCTGGCACCAGGCCGTAACCCAGAAACTGAGGGTTGGGGACCTAACTTTGAGTCTGGGCTTTGTGTGGCTGGGGAAGCCCCTCAGCATCTCTGAGCCTCCGTTTTCTTATCTGCCCCCACCCTCCCACTGCCTGCCAGGGCCACCGGTGCTGCAGTGAACCCAGCAACCTATGGGCCTCCCCTCGGGAGACCTAGTGTCTCAGGCAGGAGATGCCGGAAGTGGACAGAAATGTCAGCTAGGGCAGAATGACGGGACTTTGGGGAGAGGTGTCAGGAGGGGTGCCTCAGGCAAAGAGTGGGTGGCCCTGGGGTGAGCCCCTAGGAGGGAGCAGACAGGAGCAGTTGGGGCACCCGGTACCCCTCCCGCAGGCCATCACCATCGAGGCCGAGCCGCGGGCCGATGGCAGCCGCCGGACCACGCGCTATGACATCGACATGACCAAGTGTATCTATTGCGGCTTCTGCCAGGAGGCCTGCCCCGTGGATGCCATCGTGGAGGTGAGCGGGCCTGTGCGGGGTGCAGGGCCGGGGGCAGGGCCAGGGGCAGACGTGCTCGGGGGGAGGGGGTGCGAGGGGCTTGATGCCGCTGCACCTGCCCCCGCCTGCAGGGCCCCAACTTCGAGTTCTCCACTGAGACGCACGAGGAGCTCCTGTACAACAAGGAGAAGCTGCTGAGCAACGGGGACAAGTGGGAGGCCGAGATTGCCGCCAACATCCAGGCCGACTACCTCTACCGCTGATGCCCCCCACCGCCCAGCTGGCCTGCAGCCCCCGCCACCCAATAAAAGAGTTCTGCCCTCCTGTCCCGCCTCCGTCGTGAATCCAGCTGTCCGGGCCACAAAGGTTCAGCCTGTGGGTCCCTCCCCGGGCGGGTCCTTCAGGGAAGCTGGCAGAGGTGACCTGGCCTTCCATGGGAGTCCGGGGGCCGTGGCTGGGCCCCGGCACAAGGCAGTCCTCCTGCGTACCCATCTTCCTGGGCATGGTCCCCAAGGCTTGGTCTCGGGTCGCTGTCCTGTAATCCTGGGTGTCTGGAGGGTCAGGCCATGCACAGCTACGGCCTTGAGGATGTCGAGTCTCCAAGGCCTCGGGCAGAAACCCTGTGAGTGGCAGAACCTCAGAAAGGCCAGGGTGTCCTTGTTGGGGGCAGGGAGAGGCGTGCCTGGGGTGGCAGTCACAAGGAGGTGACACAGGCCCTGCTGTCCCTGAGCTGGCCTTGCCTCATCTCTCGCCACATCCCCTTTCTGCCCCAAGTTCCCCAGACCAGGCTGCGGGCTTGGCTGCTGGTGCTGGGAACTTCCCCTTCCCAGTCCCGGCAGTGTGTGGTTCCCCGAGGGGTTGCGTGCTAGCCCGGTGCGGACGGGACAGCCAGAACCTGCTCCCTGGGACCCGGTGCCTCGCCAAAAGGCTTCGGCTTGTTTGTATCTGTGAGCACGCCAGCTCAGAGAAGTGAGGGACTTGCTTGGGGTCACACGGCATGTGTCCGATGAAAACACTAGCTCAGGTCAGAGATCTGGGCCCCTCCTCTTCCATTGTTCCCAAAAGTGCTCTTCACAAAACGCTAACCTCCCGTGATGCTGTGTGGAAAGAAGAGAGAGGAGGATGTTCTGTGGACCAGTCAGTGTGGGAAATGCCCCAAGTGCCCTCTTTCCTCTGGGATAGACACCACCTGTGAGCACATTCAAGGCTCTGAGAAGGCCTGTTGCAAAGAGTCCTAGCCTTTCCCCAGCTCATTCCCTTTGTTCATGGCTGCTGACACCTGGGCCATCTCCTGGTGCCGAAGTGGTCCAGGTCCTGTTTGCCCCCCACAGCCTACGGAGCTAGGCGCAGGGGTGAGGAATGCAGGAGCTGAAGAGAAGACCGGAGCCTAGGAAGTGTATGTGTGCCCAGGCCCCTGCAGGCCATAGTGGCTGTGGGAGGCAGGACCCCTACAATCATCAGCTTGAAAATGCTGCGTCACCTTTGACTGCACTTTTCCCAGATACAACCAGCATTCGGTGCTTGTCACGGAGCCTTTATCTGTACACCGGTAAACAGAACACACTTGTTTAAAATGGGTCAGATGGTCCGGCTCCTGACTGGATCCTTTCCCTTTCTGACCCCAAACTTTCTGTGTGTTTCAGGAGCGCACCTCCAATGCCATTTTGGAACAGCGGGGTTCCGGTTGCCCCTGCACCAGAAAGTATTGACCTTGGTTTGGTTGAAGCCCCCCCAGGAAACAGACCTACGATGCCCCAGAACTGGGTCACCCCCTTTTCTGATGATACTGACCTTGGCTGTAACTTTCCACCCCCAGCTCTGGGGCTTGCTTCGTTTGCCCACAGCTCCCCTACCCCTCAGAGGACCTTGCCATGTGAAATTCAAGGATCACCAGAGCTGAGAGGCCCCTTGTCCTTCCTGTCCCCAGTGGGTATGGTCCTGGTCTGTCCAAAGTGCAGGCAGCTGGACATTCGTGAACCTCCGTTCAGGGGTGCTGGGACATGACCAACCGTGGGGAGCTAATCAGCAAAGTCACACGCACGCCCCTGGCTGTAGGAAAAGCAACAACTACCATTGGGTGCGCGGAACATCACAAGCCCGGCCCAGCCCTCTGTATCCTGCTGCCGCTTAGGAAAAAGGCCCGCAGAGAGCTGCACCCACCCAGGGCCCCTGGGCCTGGAGCTTAGGCCCCTTTCCTGGGTGGTCAAGAGGCAGGAAGGTGTAAGGACCGGGTGCAAACGCGGCCTCAGGAAAGGGGTCCCAGAGGCGGGGTGCGAGGCCCTTAGACCTCAAGCCTCAGTGCTTTGGGATCCCATCTGCCGCAGGCCCAGCGAGCCCTCTAGGTGTGTGGGGGGCGAGCCCCGGCCGCCTCCCCGCACCCGCATCCCGGCCACGTAGGCGAGCGCGGTCGACGCGGCTGAGTCTCGGCTCGGGTCTCCCGGCCTCCCCGCCCCACGTTACGTCCCCCAGCCTCACGGGAGCGAGCGACGGCGGGCGGGGCCGCAGGCCGGGCCCTGCCTCCCCGCCGGCCGCTCGCGGGACTCCCGCGCCCCTCCCCGTCGGGCCCGGAGGGGATGGGGCGGGGCTCCCGTGGCCCCGCCCCTTGCGGCCCGCCGGCGGGGGAAAGCGAGTTCCGTGGGCGCCGCGGCCGGGAGCGCAGAGCCAGGAGCGCAGAACTGAGCAGCGCCGCGTGCGGCGGACCCGGGGGTAAGTGTGCCCCAGCCGGGATCCGCAGGGCTCCCCAGCTCCGTCTGCCACCCTCGCTTCGCCCTGCCTGGAGAAAGGGGCCCTGGAACCCCCATCCCACCTGGGCCAGTGCATGCGACTCAGTCTACCGGCCCGCCGGGTGTCGCGGCCTTGGTGGGGGCCGCCGTGGCGCCGAAGAGGAGGAGGAAGAGGAGGAGGAGGAGGAGGTGGAGGGGGAGAGGGAAGAGGAAGACGGAGAGTTAACAGCCGCTAACTATTGAGCCCAACTCTGCCCGTCCTGGTGCTGCTCTGGTGGTGCTCAGGGCTTTCTCTGGGGCATCTTCCTCGGAGGGAGGGACCCATTCTACAGATGAGGAAATTGAGTCCCACCCAACTAGGAAGAGGCAGAGCTAGAGGCAAGTGGGGTTACTCCAATTCCAGAGCCTACCAGTCTGGAATGGGTGAGGCAGCAGGTCTTCTCTTCTCCAGCTCAGTTGTCATCATCATGGGTCAGGGGCTTAGAGGAGAGATCTGGTGGGTTCCTGAAGGAGTTGGCCTTAGCCTCAGCCCCTGAGGGACCAGGAGGAGGGGGGAACAGAGGGAGGAGGGGGCTGCAGTCTGGATCCTGAAGGCCAAAGGACTGACGAACCTTCATTTGCTCCATTAAAAGGAGTAGGGTACACCCCGCCCCCCGGCTTGGGTAGGGGCCAGAGAGGATGGGCGGTAAGGGGTGAGCCAGTGGCATCCTCACCTGTGGGGGAGGGGGTCTGACCAGGTCCCTGCACACCCTGTCCACCCCATCCAAGGGAATTCCCACCCAAGGGGTTCGCCCAGGCCGAGGCCCTGTGAGTGACTAGATTGGCCACAGCCTGAGGCTGCTGTACCCCTTGGGTCCCCAGACCTGGTTCCCTACAATCCCCTCATCTGTCCAGCCCAGCCTTTCAGGGGGCCTTGGGCGGAGAACAGCCCTCACCTGAGTGCATACTGTGCCCTGGGACGACAGACCTACAGCTCCAAGGGCAGTTCTGGCCTGACTTAGCCACCTGCTGACCACCTGATCCCAGACCCCACCTCTCCAGGTGCGCTGAGCTGTCCGTGAGAGTCTGTAAAACAAGGCCACAAGGTCCTCTTTCCCCAGGATTGCTCTCAGGTTGCAATGAGGTAAAATGGGTGAGGGGTTATGTGGAGCTTCTATTTTTGTCATCTCTCCACCCAGGTCCTGTCTCTGCTGGGGGTGGCCAAGTCCCATTTACCCAAAGAGGAAGTGGAGGCCCAGAGAAGGTGAGAGGCTCCCCCAAGGACACACAGCCAGTCACAGCCTGAGCCACACTCTGGATCCTGGGCCCTGGCCCTCTGCGGGTGGAGCCTAGCCCCTCCTGCCCACACTTCCCTGCCCGGCCCGGGGCTGCGGCAGTCCTGGGCTGCCTCTCCGCCTTCTTTCCTCTTCCAGGCCAGGGCGGGGGCTGCATTCCCTGTTTAGACTGAAGGAAACCAGGCCCAGGGGAGGAAGTGACCAGCTGGGCAGGTCCCCACCCTCCCAGACAGCAGGCGGAGCTTTGGCGCCAAATGGTCACCCTCAGTTGGGGACCTCACCCACGCCTGTCCCCTTCCCTGACACTATGAGAGCTAAGGAAACTGAGTCCCACAAAGGGGAAGCCCTGGGCCCCGAGAGCAATGGCCGTGGAGCCCTGGCTCATGGCTGGGGCAAGTGCAGGGCCTCCCCTGCGGCATCTGGGCAGGGCCCCGCCAGGCCGTCCTGCCCCTGTCAGCTTCCACAGTTTCACTTTCCTGGGTTTCGACACCTGGAAGGCTGTTTCTGCCCCTATTTGGACATCGGCCGCCAAGCGGTCCAAGCCTCGGGGGAAGGTCCGCCCCAACCTGGCCTTGGGCCTCTGCCCTCAGTGAGGGCACCAGGGGACCCGCTGGAGGCTCCCACCCCCTCGGCACACACAGACACCTCCAGGGGGGCTCAGCTGCCAGGGGGGCTCCAGCTGCCAGGGGGACTCGGGGGCTGGGGGACAGCCCCAACCTTCAGCCCCGGCTGTCTGTCTAAATGGACGGACGCTCCTTGGTGTAGAAGGTCGAGGTTGGTGGCCAGCCGAGGGCTGTGGCAATTAGGAGGCCAGCTGCTGGAGGCGACCCTTGGCCTGGGGCCCCAAGGACAAGTAGGGCCTAGGGTGAGGGCAGGTCACAGAGGAGGGACAGCGGGAGCAGAGGGTGCATGTGAGGAGAGCCAGTGCGGGGGTGGGGGCGTGGGTCAGGCCGTGAGGCCAGCCAGGGCGGGCTGCACTCGCAGTTGCACCGCTTACTTCCTGTGTGACCTCAGTGCCCCTTTGAAGCTGCCCGGGCCTCAGTTTCCCCATATGTCAGGTGGGGTTGGTAGCAGACCTCCCATGGATGGCGTGAGCTGAGGCGGATGGCATTGCTAGTCGGTGGGGAGCTGTCCGGCCCGTCCCCGCTGAGCCTCCCCCCGCCCATCCCCCCAGCCCCCTGCAGGACCATGGGCTCCATGTTCCGGAGTGAGGAGGTGGCACTGGTCCAGCTCTTCCTGCCCACCTCAGCCGCTTACACCTGCGTGAGCCAGCTCGGTGAGCTGGGGCTCGTGGAGTTCAGAGACGTGAGTGGGGCCGGACGGGCGC